CCTATTGGCCCTAAGGCTGAGCTGTGTATTGTCCATTGGTGTGACCGTCGCATCATTTGTCTCTAGCCGGAGCAGCAGATATCAGGTTAGCAGTTTGGGGAAGTTGGCTGCATAATGATAGCGCGCCTGTGCAGAGGTTACCAGATCTGGTATTCTGGCAGATACTCATGGGCCCCCTCCTACATTTCCACTCTTGTTTTTAAAGGCAGCCCAGCAGGAGTGCTGCCTGACATTATTGTGCCCACCTCAAAATGGCCTCTGAGATACAGGTTGTGACTATCTTAGGTTGTTTCACTCGAGGCATAAGTCTTACCTGTCATGGGAGCATGCATCTAGCTTATACATGTTCTGTCTTAGGTTGACTTATCCCAGTGGAATCTTACCCGTCTTTGTCTGCCAACCCTGAGGGAGGTTTGGTTTTGGGGGGTCTGCCAGGGTGGGGGCTAGTTTAGGAGGAGGCCTTTTGTATCTCAGTTAGCCAAGTCTCTATGACTTTCTGAGGAGGGCCCCAGCCTGGATGTTGTAGAGCCGAGAGGACCGGAAGGGTTGTTTTGTTGATGGTCTGCTGGTGACAGATATGTGACAGTAGGCACCTGAGGATGAACAACACAAGGAGGAGCACGCCTCCTACTATTAAATAGGTTAGTAACGAAGGACCTGTTCAAAATAGGGGGAGCCTGGGCCTGATTTGTTGGCAGCCTTGCCGATAAGCGACACGTCCATCAGGGGTGTCAGTACCCAGGGTTGTTGAGTGGCATTTGCACTGACATTAACAGGAAAAGTGAAAGTAGGGGAGTTTTGAGGATTTGAGAGTTGTGGCTGGGGTTGAGGGGCGGGTTTAGGAGGGTCCGTGTGGTGTGACATAGTTATTTCACTCTCAGCTAGATGGGGGGGTGGTGTTTCGGCGTGAGTCCGAGGGAGTGAGCTAGCGTGGGGGGGCTTTTTTGGAGGGGTTGTGTCTGGGGCGGTCTCAAGGTTGCAGGATGGTGATACAGCCTGCAAGGTTGAAATCGAAAGCATGGGCATTTTTTGTTCCTGACAACGTTCATTGAAGGATTTTAAGATATCCTCAGGAGAGCCAGATTTAATGCAGCCGAGGATACCCAGTAAAATCAGAACAAAAGGGGCAGTGGGTGCTGTACCTTCCTGTATTTCCTGTTTATGGGCTAGAAAGAGCATCCGCATCCAGAGATCTGGGTCCCAGACGTTTTCGAGGGAGATCTGTGGGGCGAGAGTAGATGCCTCTTCCCAGAAGGTTTCTAAATCATTAAGCTTAATCTTGAGGCCACAGGTTACCAGGAGGGATTTTAGGGCCCGAAGTTGGGGTTCCTTACAGTGTGAGGGAAAGTTACCTGTTTTAGGGGGAAGAAGTTGTAGAGGAGTTGGGGCTAGGGCAGTTGAAGGGGAACTCGCCACAAAAATAAGAGGCTACGAGGACAACAATGATTGCGAGGACAAGGCAAAGTAAGAAGTCAGCCACTCATAACTGGAAGCGAGCAGACACAGGGGAGTGTTTTGGATCAAGATGTCTTGTGCTTAGTGGGGAACTTCTGTGGTTTGTTAGGCCATGGCCGTATGCCCACACGGTGTCTCCGATTGCTGGGTGTCTTTTGGAATACACCTGTTGGTTCTGTCTCCTGGGTAGTCAGCCCTTATGTGGAGGCGTCAGGCGAACCAAGTACAGGGGATATGTACCTGAGGGAGGGTGAAAATGGGCAATGTTGGGGTAGGGTTGGGGGAGAAAACGAAAGGGAAGAAAAAACGCATCTCACGGATTACCACCCGTGGAACACAAGACAAAGGAGCCTACTCACTGAAAGAACAGCCGAAGGGGGCCACTCGTGGCCGACGTGAGAAGCGAGTGGGTCTGGAATCCACACTGGGCGCCAGTTGTTGCTGTGCTCTTACAATGGCCTGACTCCAGTCTCAGGGGGCAGGAGTTGAGTAGGCGTGAAGTCAATGACACAGAGATGCTAGTCAGTAGCAGGCTGCGAGCAAGGTCGTTTATTGCGAACAAAGGGCTTCCCTTTATACCCCCTGAACCTCCCCTATTGGCCCTAAGGCTGAGCTGTGTATTGTCCGTTGGCGTGACTGTCTTGTCATCTGTCTTTAGCCTGAGCGGCAGATATCAGGTTAGCAGTTTGGGGAAGTTGGCTGTGTAATGATAGCACGCCTGTGCAGAGGCTTTTGCTTCCATCCTTTTTTTTTTTTTTTTGTTTTTTTGGGAACGGGTCTCTTTTTTCCCCCCGCTGGCCTGCAACCCACTTTGTAGACCAGACTGGCCTTGAACTCACAGAGATCCACCTGCCTCTGCCTCCTGAATGCTGGGATTAAAGGTGTGCTCCACCATGCTCAGCTTGCTTTGTATAAGACCTTTTCCTTTTGCTAGACTTTGTCTGGCCTTTGTCCATCATGAGTTGTGTCATTGTGTATTATGCAGCCTACTCTTAGCACATCCCTCCCTCTGTTGTAATTACAGGCTTGTTGTTTATTTCTTCTGTTCCAAGAACTCCACAGGGTACAGGACTAGGCCTTTGTCATGGCTATAGCCCCAGAGGCTGACATCCCATGCCTGGGGCACATTAAGCTCTCAGTTTGAGATTGCTGGATGAGTGAATTCTGTAGACAACAGGCTATATAAAGAAGGAAACATCAGACCATGAAAGTGACCAGGAGGGAGGTAATAAAGACTACTGTTCCTGAGATGTTTTCAGGGCCTTTCTCATTGTGGTTCTATCTTAAACCTATTCTATATAATGTAGAGTAGCATAGGAAAGTGAACATATCACAGATGAATAGGTAGAATTTTATAAGTTATAAACCCATGTACCCCACATGGAGGTAAAGACACAGAACAGGAACGGGACCAGTTCCCCCGGAAAGCTCCCCTCATGCTCCTTCGGGTTAGCACTCCTGTTACTCCCCTTGGGCTCCTTAGGGTTAGTACCCTGTTTCTCCCCTCGTGCTCTTTCCAGTTAGTACGCCTGTTACTTCCACTACCAAGGTCAACATGAAAGACACTTTTGACTTCATACATCAGTGCTGTCAGAGTGTGAAGCTCATATAAAAGGAGTTATTCAATATGTACCCTCTTGTGCCTGGTATCTTTTGATCAACTTTTAAAAAAATATGTTTTATATATTATTTTTATGTGTATGTATGTATTGCCTACATGTAGATAAGTGTACCCGTGTTGTGCAGTGCCTACAGAGGACAGAAGAGGCTGTCAGATCTCCTGGAACTGGAGTTATGGACAGTTGTTAGCTGCCATGTGGGTGCTGGGATTCAAACCCGGGTCTTCTGCAAGAACAACCAATGTTCTTAACTGCTGAGCCATCTCTCCAGCCCATTTTGATCAACTTTTTGTCTGAGATTTGTCCATGGTGACTAATGGTTGCAGATCATGGATGCACATTGCTGTATTTTGTTGCATTGTATGAATAAATGATCACATCTGTTCTACTGTGGATAGGCATTTGGGAGACTCCAGTTTTGTCTATAATGAGTCAGTGCTGCTATCAGTATCTTGTGTGTCTTTTAGTGAACATTATATGAATTCTTAGGTAAAGACCCCAGAGTGGAATTGCTGTCTCAGCATCTGAATTGTTAAGTGTTAATAGATACTGCTAAGTTTTTTCTAAAGTGATCAGTATTTATTCATTTTAGCACTTAGGACAATTCTGGTGTTTCATATTCTTGCCAGCTGGCTTGGTTTTCCTTTTATTTAGTCATTTTTTTAATGTTTACCTTGATGTCTCACTATGGTTTTTGCTCTTAAAAATATTTCACCTTTAAAAATGGTTTCGTAAGCCTTTAATCTCAGCACTCAGGAGGCAGAGGTAGGCAGATCTCCATAGTGAATCCAGGCCAGCTATGTGGCTACAGGGAGACCCTGTCTCAAAAAAGACCAAAAAAAAAAAAAAAAAAAAAGTTTCATAAAGCTAGGGCTATAGTCCTAGCATGTGGGAAGGTGAGGCAGGAGGATACTGAGTTCAAGGCACATAGTAAGTTCAAGGCACATAGGAAGACTGTCTCAGACAGGTGAACCAACCAACATTTTCTTTCTCTAGTTGGCTAAAGAATTTCTGAAACTTCTGAGTAGGGAGGTAGGTATAAGCTGATTGAAAAGGGAAAAGTTTTCATTCAGTTAGTAATCTGTCTTATCATATAAGCTTTACTAGAAAAATTTAGGTGCATTTTTCCTTCAAAATAGGGTAACAATAAAGAAGAAATACACAAACCTGGAGACATATCTAATAGGAAAAAAGGAAGAGTCAGTACTTTGTGCCACATATCTAAGAGTAAACTGAGTTCTCACTTTAAAATAGAAGAAATATTAGACCAAAGTATATGTCTAAAGACAGAGGATTAATTTTGCTACCTGTAACCTTTTCACTGGTATGTGATTGGTTCTGATTTGGAGGATTAAGAACATTTCAGTGTGCAAATATTCTTCTTAAGCAAAATGTTTATGATATAGGAAAAATGTTCTTAGACTTATTTATAATTTGGGTCCATGTTTCAAGGAATCTGTTGATCTCAAGAATGGCCCCTTCTCCCATTTGAGCACAAAGAGCTTCTCCACCTAAATCTTTTGAGATGTTCCTATACTAACATTCCTTCAAAGCACAAGGCAAGAGCCAGGTCATCTTTGCTTAGGTTTAATCCAGAATCACTTTGTATTAGTAGAGAAAACAAAACTGGAGTAGATCCGTAGGATGAATGTGGGATGGAATATTAAATATATCTCTTGCTTTCTAAGATACTGGGGAAAAAACATGCAAACCTTTTAAACTTTAGTTTTCTCAACTGTAAAGTAAGAAAAGACTAACCACCTTATAAAGTTCTTGCTGTGTGGAGTATGAAGAAAATGTGGATAAAATGTTTTAGAAGTGATTTTTCTCAATTATTAAAATTTTATTAGCTCTCTAACAAATGCATGCTAATAGAGTTCTGTCAAATGGTCGTATGGTTGTAAACTACCTTCCTTTCCTTTTTAGGGTTGACAACTTTGGCTTGGGCCTTTTACTTCGATCCAAGCAGATAAAACGCATGATCTCTTCATATGTGGGAGAAAATGCAGAATTTGAACGCCAATACTTATCTGGTGAACTAGAAGTAGAGCTGACACCTCAGGTAAGGAAATTCCCTGCCATTGTTTCACAATACCAGTTTATGGAAAACTTTACTTTTTCCTTCTTAAACTCTGTGCAAAATAGAAGAGATGCTATTTTGTCCAACCAAGGAATCTTGTTTTTAAGTCACTACTGTTGATTGTTAGACAATTGTTTTCTGTCACTCTTTGCTGAAAAAGGAGGTGTTTCTCAGTAGAAAATATCTGAGGTATGGGATAAAATGTTGAATTCAATATTATTGTGTGTGTTGTGCCAGAAGCAAGCAGAAGAACTTGCCGAAATGTCTGGGAATTGCCCTAAAAGTCAGCTTTTATGGATCTCAGAGTGAGAAATTTCTGAGTGGTCAAGTCTTGCTGAGCCACACCAGGAGAATGAAGCTTGTTGGTGAGGCTGAGGGTATCATGGCATTACAGAGTAAGTGCTGGGATCAGAGCCCAGGGCTCTAGGGAACTGATGTTTTATAAAGCCAGCCACTGCTGTAATGAATCAGCAAGTTTATGCTTGTTCTTTATGTCATCTCATGACCCGTGGAAGGCAAGAAATTCGAAGCCTTTGGGTAAAGCAAGGATCTACAAATTCACTGTGTTGTTTCTATTTTGACATGTTCAGCCTTCATCTGAAACTGAGCCCACCACTCAGCCTGGAAGTAATATTACTTCAGGTTTTTGCCAAGTTGGTAAGAATGGCATGTAGCAGAATTTTATTAAAAAAAAAAAGATCAGCTATGTCCTGGTCTAGAGAGAGCATGCATAGGGTACTGTTCTTTCCAACTGGGGTTTCACATTATTTAGTCACACCTGGTCACTCATAGCACTGTCCCGAACAGAGTTCTGCCCTGTGCTCAGTGTTACTTCATTCTTAAAGTTTTGTGAATGAACAAAGATAAGAAAACAAAGTGTCCTTGGGTTGCTGTAACAAAGCTCTACAGACTGGGGGGATTGAGCAACAGAAATTTAGTTCTTACAGTTGGGATAGCTAAGAAGTTCAAGATCCTGCTCCAGCAGTTCACTGTTTGGTATGGGCTCTCTTCCTGGCTTGTGATGGCTGATGACTTTGTTTCCTCTTTGGGGTCAGTGATAAGGAAAGTGAGAACTCTGGTGTCTCGTTTTATGAGGACAATGATCCTGTTAGAACAGGGCCCTACATTTATGAATTGCTTCTATCTTAAATATCTCTTTGTAGGCTCTGTCACATTGCAGGTTACAGTTTTGGCTTCCATATTTAAGGAGTATACAGTCTAGACATATAGCTGTCACAGGTAAGATACTGTGTCATTTGGTTGTATAGTTATTGAAAACAAACCTTCCGGTTACTTTCCGTATCTTTTGTATCATCCTCTATTTTGTCATAGGACACATACATGGGAGAGGAACTTCCTTAATACTTCTTTTATACATTTATTTATTTTACTCTTAGTTATGTGTGTGTGGGGGAGTTAATAAGCAGTTGTGAGTTGACTGTTGTAGGTGCTGGGAACCAAACTCAGGTCTTCTGGAAGAGCAGTACATGCTCTTAACCACTGAGCCATCTCTCCAGCTGTGTATCTTTTTTTCTTCAAGCTAAAAGAGATTGATGTTTCTTTTCTCAACCAAGTGCTGCACAGTGCCTCTTTTGCAGTCTTGGAACCTCGGGGTTGAGGTAAGGAAGGGATGCTAATGAAGTGGTAGGGGTTGGCACTCCTTTGGGGTAGGGTTGGTGGCACATGCAGGGGACTTGTCTTAAAAAATATTCTACCTTCAGGCTTTTGGCCAGTTGCGCAGAGAGATGATGTAGAGTATTCAGAAACAGCATACAGAAAAATATTGTAAAGTGAGGGGGTGTCAATATGTTTGCTTTAATGTTTTCAAATGAGTTTTTGCATGTTATTGGTTTAGAATGCAACACAAAGTAGAGTCATCTGTTTATTAGATAGAATAGAAAACCAGTTATCTGAAGAGTTCCACCTGTGGCCCAAGTTCCTTCTTCTCTAGAGCATCCCACCTACTTAAATGGCTCAATATCTGAGATCCCAACAGTTAGTCCCTTTGTTAAGTAAGTATTTAAAGACCCCAGTTAATATAGACAACATTTCTCATATTGAGACAGTGCAAGCCGGGTCACTAATTCTTAACGTCAATTCTGACTGCTGATTAGCCAATCACCTGCCTGTAAGCACCATGTAGCAATATCCCAGCAATACATTTCAGGGCACTTTTAGGGCCACAATTGGTGTTCTAGGGGAAACCTGGATAGAAAGTTGGGGATGGGAGAGACCTAGGGAACTGAGGTTTGAATCGCTTACAAGTGGGGGAGGAGCAAGTCTCCCGTGGGAAGGAAGAGGATCAAAAGGAAACACAGAAAAACTTCACCTACATCTGTTTCTACTGTGAAACAAGATTTGAAGTACTAGCTTTAAAATTTGTGTGTATTATTACAAGATTTAATCAAGTCATAATTTCAGATCCTTAATATATTGCATAATAATGGCATTTTATTTTATTTTTAATTTTTTTCTTTTGTGAATTTTCTATGGAATTTTTGTCTATTTCATATGGAACACCTTAATCATCTTTATACCCTTCCTCATTGTCAGTCTCCCATAGCCCCCCACCCCACTGTAATTCATACGCTCTGTCATTTGTGTTAAGGCCTATACCGTGTCAAGCTAGTATTCCCAGACATCCCTTAGTGCAAGTTCAACCACTGAAATCTAGGCAGCCTCTCTAGAGTCCCTCCCTTTAAGAAGATCAGCTCTTCCTCATCCAGCAGTTATCAGCTGCCAATAATTCTTCAACTACGATTGGGGCTTGTTGCCCATTTCCACAGTTCTCTGCTGGAGTTTTGTCTGCTTGAGTTTGCATAGGTCTTGTGCATGCTGACATCATTTGCTGTAGGTTCATATTAGCAAGGTCCCAGGATCCTGTAGGACTCTGTTTCCATATGGTCATGTACCTCCTCCCTGGCTCTTACAATGGAGTTAATATAAGAGTCCTATCCAAGGACCCACACCCTGCAGACTCTTATTCTCCATGTTTTGGCCATCAGTGAAGCTCTCCCATGTAACAGAGAACCAGGAACACTTTGTTATTTCAAGTATTATTTTTCTTAATAATTTAGGACTTGTAGGGAAGATGGCCACTAATGTAACACTCACTGTGAACATCGTTTTCACTCTTATCCTTTGTTTTTAATTTTTCTTTCAGCTTATAACTAAAAAAATTATTTTGTTTTAACAGAGCATAGGGTAGTGGGTGTCCCACATTTACAGCTGTGCCATAAAGTCCACTCTCAAATACACATCCTGGGACCTCCTGACAGCTGCACAAAATTGTGAGAGAGGTGCCTCTTGGTGTTCTCAGCTTATATATCCTTTGTCCCTCTCCCCACATGCAGCTAAGGTCAACTGATTGGATGGGAGGGGTAACTGAATCCCCACTCAACACCTTGATGAGCTTGGGAATGAGGTGTGACTATAGCTTGCCTGGCATAGTGGTTGGAGTAGATTTCCAGTTAACACTCCACCCCTTCCTCTGGCTCTTACATTCTTTCTGCCAACCTCTTCCACAAAAGTCCCTGAGCCTTGGAGGGGGTGGTAGGTGTGAGATGATTTTCTTCCTGTTGTGGCAAGGCACTGAATTTTTGGGTCTCTGTGTCATCTGTTTTCCATGGGCTGTTGGCCAGTTTGAGTGGGATTCCATCTACTATAAAAACACCGACAGCAAGAAGCAAGACCATCTAAACAATGACTGCTATAATAACTTAACCTATGGGTGTAAACACACATGCTTGGACGGTACTTTATTAGGTGTATGACATCCATCTAACAGAGCAATTGCAGTGACTTCCCACTGGGGCCTATATTATCCCCTGCCATGGGGGTTGGCTGGGTCTACAGTACCAGCTGTGTTTTCCGCCCCTAGGAGTGGGCATTATATCCAATTGAAAATTTGCTAGTTGTATATACACTAGATGCTTCACTATTGCATATATAGTACAATACACGGGGTCCATCATTGAGGAGAATTATAGGGGGCTGTTCTTCCCCAGTCATCTGCCTGTTGCCTTTTGGTACCATGAAAACCACCCATCCAGTGGCAGGGAGTTTCCAGCTTAGTCCAAGCTTGATTTCTCCCTCTCCTGAGCTCACATCATGCAGTGTCTTCAGCAGGAGGGTTTTTCTGTCCACTTCTGGTGTACAACCAACATTATTGGTGATGGTCTTCATTGTTTAGGGGACCTCTACTGTCCTTCAGGCCAACAGCTCATGGGGGCAATCCACCTCTGGCACTAGGATTTTCATTTAACAGCTGTATTGCTTTCTTCCATCTCTGTAGGGTTCCTTCTGTGCTTAAGGCTTTTTTTAAAAACTGTGAAGAATATTTTCCCCCTATATTCCTATAGTTCTTTGTATAGTCCCCTCCCTCCCGTTTAACTACCCCCTTTTTGCGTATTTCTCCCTTAATAACACCTTTACCCTATTGTTCTCTCTCGGTTTCCTTCTTTTCCTTTACCTCCCTGTTTTCCTCCCATATTCCCGGTCCTTGCAATTGCATCAGGATATGCACTCATAAGGATTTGGTGCCTAGCTTTAAAAATTTTTTAAATATTTTTATTTATTCTGTATTATTATTATTGTGTGTGTGTGTGTGTGTGTGTGTGTGTGTTTGTGTGTAAGCTTGCAGGTGTGTGCATATTGTGTGTGAGTGGAGGTCAGAGGACAACTTTTACAAGTTGGGTCTCTCCTTCCACTGTGGGTTCCAGGGATCAAACTCAGGTCATCAGGCTTATGCAGTAAGCACTTTTACCTGGTGAGCAGTCTTCTTTGCCCCAGCTACCTGGAACTTGCTATGTAGACCAGGCTGTGCCTGCCTCTGCCTCCGAGTGTTGGGATTAAAGGCATGCACCACCACGCCTGGCCCTATTCCTAGCTTTTAAAAGTCAGTTTACCCATATGCTGGTTTTGCTTGGCTTTGAATTTTTCCTTGGTTAGATAACTTAGAAAATAAATATTTATGAAATGGTTTAAAATAGGTTTTAAAGTAAATTTGATCTTTTAAATTAAAAAAGAAATTGATTTATGTGTGTCTATGTGTGTTTGTGCACATGTGCACAGATATCTTTGGAGTTCAGAAGAGTGTGTTGGATCCTCTAGAGCTGGAGTTACAGGGATTGTGAGCACCTTGATGTGGGTGCTGGGAACTGAACCCTGGCTGGCCTGGTACTTATATAACCTGTATTGGCCTTGAACTCCTGGCACTCCTCCTGTCTCAGCCTCCTAAGTACTAGAATTAGAAACATTTGCCAATTATTAATGCTGAAAAAAATTGAGTATACCTGCACATGACACATGGCAAAACATACAATTTAATATTAAAAATGCATATGTGCATATAGATAAATTTACATAATTAAGATTTAAAAATACTAAAACTAGGCATTAGTAGAATATGATGTCAGGAGACTACTGGGGATGGTGTCTGGAAGCTGAAAGTTTCAACAGTTAGATTTTGGATGTGGATTAAGACTGGGATAGCTATTGTCTTTTAATCAAGCCTCAGCTTAAGGATTTATGCATGCATACAGTGTTAATTTGCAGGATTTTGAGCCTCTATGGGGTGTGGGTGGGGAACTACATCTAACAGTCTCTGTGCCCCAGTTGGGTGTGCTTCGGGAACTTCTCATAAGTGTTGCTTGCTCATTCGTAGGGCACACTTGCAGAAAGGATCCGCGCAGGCGGGGCTGGAGTTCCTGCGTTTTACACTAGCACAGGGTATGGGACCCTGGTACAAGAAGGAGGAGCACCCATCAAATACAACAAAGATGGCAGCATTGCCATTGCCAGCAAGCCAAGAGAGGTAAGAAGCTCTTCATCCACCTGGCGTTAGGAGACTGCTTCCCACACGAGATTCTGCATGGATTCATTTGGTAAAGTCATCTCAATGAGATAAAGTTAATTCATTTTCAAAAAGGTGAGATTTTAGTTAATTCTGGCTACATGCTAGTACTTAAAAATCACAGAGGGAAACTAGACTAAATAAGGAGAAAGGGAGCTATCGTTCATGTATACTATGGTAATTAAGATTAGTTGGAGCATACCTTTAATCCCAGCACTCAGGAGGTGGAGGCAGGCAGTTCTTCATGAGTTCAAGGCCAACCTGGTCCTCCATAGTGAGTTCCAGGGAGGCAGAGGCAGGCAGATTTCCATGAGTTCAAGGCCAACCTGGTTTACATAGTGAGTTCCAGGCCAGCTGGAGCTATAGGGAAACCCTGTACCAGAAAGACCAAAAAAAAAAAA